GGCGGGGGATCCTGCTAAAGCCTGGAGTGCAGCCTCATGGCAGAGTTCATGCCTCTTCCCAGGGCCGTTGCTCTCCATCCGCACAAGGAAGGGGGGCTGTGTAGGTGGGATTGGCTATACTGAAGCCTGCTGAGCCTGAGAAGGGGCCTGAACCCCAGCCAGCAGGGCCAGGGCTGGTCTGCCTCATGCTTCCCACGTCCCAGCTGTCAACACCTTTCCTCATAGGCTTTTGACACCCATGAAACTCCTGTGAAACAGATATGGAATACAACTTCTCAGGGGTAGGTCACTGCCTGGCCATGGGGGTCTTCCACTCTGGGACCCCCATCCCAGCACCAGCTGGGCCCAGTATTAGGCCTGGACCTTGGCCAAAGCTCCAGCTTCGGCCAGGGAAACAGGAAGATGTAGGTTCATCTACCCTTGCCTGGCTTTCAGGAAGGGTAGCTGACCCAGAGTCCCTCCTATAGCTACCCCCTTTGCACATCCCCTAAGTCAATATGTGGCTAGGGCAAAGTGTGGATTCTCTGAGCAGTCCTGGGAGCCCCCAGTGGTGGTGGGGTGCATGGACAAAGACTGGGCGGGGATGATGATGGAGACAGATGATCGGCACACTTTCTATCACTAGGTTATGGGACATGCACATGGGGATTCCAGGGATATCGAGTTCCTTGACTATTATCTTGCCTCAGGTCAGTCTTATAAATGGAGACTGTGACTTTCCTGATGTCCTAGAGGTCAGGGTCTATGGTTTAGCCCACAGAGTAACAGGAAGGAGAGGTGGGACCTGACAGGCGGTCTTTGACCCTCCCCACCTCCCTCGGGAGGACTAACCCCAGGAAGCTCCATCCCTGGCCCTCTCAGAGCCACTTTTAAAAGAACAACAGCAAGAAAGGCAGGAGAAGAAGCTAAGTGTCAAGTGCTGATAGGCACAACTCCTGGGGTGCCTCTGGGGACAGGTATGTCGGGACTGGCAGGGTAGCCTCTGAGCATACCTGCGGAAATCCAGGTTGGCCAGAGCACAGTAGCTACATCCAGAATCCTGCTGTGCCTGGAACTCCTTGTGCTATGGGAATGTCAAGGTCAGTGCACAAGACTCCATTACTGACAGCGACAGTGTCTGTGTAGCAGGGACTCCACCCCTCAGGACAGGCCTGAGGCAGCGGTGGGGCATTATCCTCAGCATTGCTTCCTTAGTGGAGGTAGTCCTGGAGCCCAGGCCCAGCCCGGTCCATGTCCATCAGGGCTGTTCTTCCTCTAAATATTTAGTAGAATTCAGGGGCTTTAGGCTGGAGTTCTATGTGAGGGGAAATTTTGTTTGTTTTTTCTGTGTCCCAATAAAACTTTATTTGCAAAGGCAGCAATGGACTAGAGAGGCCGCTCACTGCCGTTCTATTTTCTGACTAATAAACACTATTCTCAGCACAGAGAAAGTACGTTGACTTATATCACTTAAAAATTTGTAGGGTGCTGGGTGTGGTGGCGCACACCTTTAATTCCAGCACTCAGGAGGCAGAGGCAGCTGGATCTCTGTGAGTTCCAGGACAGCCAATGCTACATGGTGAAACCCTATGTCAAAACAAAACAAAACCAAAAACCAAAAATGGAAAAAAACCTTTGTAGGGCGGAGATGAGCATGAGCGTCACCGGAGCAGCAGACCATGCTGGCACCATGGTGACATGCTGGTGCCTATCAGCTTGTGCCTGGCTGTGAAGCAGCCAGCAGGTAGACGGCAATGGCCTTGGTCAATACCAGCAGGCCATTTTCCAAACCGATTGTCCCAGTTCACCTCATGCCTAGGACGGGACAGGAATTCTAGCTGCCCACGTCTTCCTCTCCTTCAGCACACCCAGGCCTTTTCATTTCAGCCGCTCTGGGAACGGCATGAGTCCTCACTGTGGATTTGCAAGGCCGGTTGTACATCCTACGTGCATGCCCCCCATGCCCATTCTTCTCCCTCCCCAGTTCCTTTCCTGCCCCCCTTCTTCCTCCTTTCTTCCGACTGGAAATTAAACTCATGGCTTCTCCAGTGCAAACCCTTCTGCCACTGACCTGTGCTCCAGCCCTTGCCTGGTTTTCTCTGGGTCATTTGGCCTTTCTTTTGGTTTATAAGAACTGCTTGGACTTTCCGGGCAGGGCGCCTGTATTGGCTAATTTACAAAGATGTCTTACAAACATCTTTGCCCAGGCTGGGGCCTGAATTTTCACACCCTCACCGGGGTCTTTGCCTGACTGAAGTTCTAAATTTTAAGGTAGACTGATTTCTCACTTATTTCACTTGGGCTAATTTTAAAAAAGGTACATTTCTTTCTTTCTTTATCGGGTCTGTCTCTGTGTGTGTTGAAACGCATGTGCCACAGGACATGGAGAGCTCAGAGGACAACATGTGGGAGTCGGTCCTCTCCTTTTACCTTGTGGGTCCCAAGGACTGAACTCAGGTCACCAGGCTTGGTGGCCAGCACCTTTTACCCGAGGGCCATCTCACCAGCCTTGGTGTCTTGTTTAAGATTTTTTTGCTCTCTCCCAAAGTAATTTCTGTTTTTTTTTTTCAAAGATTTATTAAATCTTCATCTTTGGAACTGTAATTCACATAAAATCAGTGTGCTCTGTGGCTGAGTTGGCAATAAAGATTAGTATTTTCCCATGTCCAGTGGCCCCTGCACCCCTCACTGAGAAGAGGCTTCCATTCCTATGGTGCTGGGAGGTCTACTTTGCTTTGTGTTTTTTTAATCTGCATTTCGCTAGGGGACTGGCCAATTTTTCTTGTATTAATTGACCATTTTCACACCATCCTTTGTAAAGCATGCAAATTTTAAACTCTCTCTGTCTCTCTTTATCTCTCTCTCTCTGTCTCTGTCTGTCTGTCTCTGTCTGTCTCTCTGTCTCTGTCTCTGTCTCTCTCTCTGTGTGTGTGTGTGTGTGTGTGTGTGTGTGTGTGTAGGCCAGAGGCCAATTTCAGACATTGTTCCCTGGATACTGTTCACACTGGATTTTGAGGCAGGGTCTCTCACCGGCCTTGTAGGCCAGGCTGACTGGCCTGTGAGCCCCAGGGAACCACTTTCCTCTACCTCCCCAGTGTTAGGGTTACAAGTGCAAGCCATCACACCCACGTTTTAAAAAAGATGAGTGCTGTGGAAGCCTGTCCTGCATGGATTGGTTCTGGAAACGAAGAAAGGGAATCAAGAAAGGACAGACACACAGACGCACACACAGAAAAGCTGGCACAGAGCAGCTGCAGCCACACAGCCTGCAACCTCGGTGCGTTCGTTATGTTCAAGGAGGGTAATCTAATGCGAGTCTGCTTGGAAGTCTTCAGAGGGCGCAGTCTCGGTTGCCGTCCATCTGGGAGGAGGCTGCTGCAGTCAGGCTTTCTGTCGGCATTTACACATGGACTAGAGGAACGTCTTGCCAGTTCCCGGGAGCTCGAGGCATTGGTCTTTGCCAATAATACACATTCACTTGGGACTTCACCTACCAACTCAGGCTTTCTTTCTTTTTTTCCTCCCTCCCTCTCTTCTTTTCTCTTTTCTTTCAATGTGTACAAGTGTAATGGTTGTTGTAGGAGAATGGGTATCAAGTTCTTGCCTGATGGCTTTTTTTTTCTTTCAGTCTTTGCAAATATTGTTGAATTTTCTTCTTATTTCCACAGTTTTTAATTTAATCTTATTTTTGAGCCAGGGTTTCAGAATGTGGCTCTGGGTAGCTCAGAACTCACCACGTAGACCAGGCTGCCCTTGGACTCACAGCGGTCTGCCTGCATCTCCCTCTGGAATGCCGGGATTAAAAACAAGGGCCACCATGCTGCCTTCTCTTTAACCTTCTCTTTGAGTCCTGGCCTTGTGTCGCCTGGACTGTGCACACAGGTGCCCATGCCACGGTGCTTACGTGGAGGTCAGTTCTCTCCACTCATCACGTGGGTCCCGGGGGGCTCCTTTACCTGCTGAGGCGTCTGTCTCACCAGGTCCGGGGCTGGCTGTTCTCCCATACTTCTGAGAAGCCGGTTGTCAGGGGTGTTTTTGTGTCTTTCTGTGTGCTGGGCCACTTTCTTTGGCCATGGTTTGTTCCGTGAAGATCTCCGTGTTTCTCCTGCTCGGCATTTGTCCGCTAGTTCCTTCCATTGCCTCTTCAGCAGGGTTTTCCGCCTTTTTCTCTTTTTCTTCCCCCGAAGATTCCCGAGGCTGTGCTCATCTTTCTTCAGCTTTTCTCTCGTGTTCTTCAAAGCGGTTATGAAATTCAGTCTGAAGTGCTTTCTGCAGGCTCTTCCCATCTACCATTGAGTCTCTAATACACGCTCCACTCCAGAATTTCCACAATTTTGGCTTTAAAAACTCAGGGTCGAACTGATTGATTTTTATGTGCTGCGTGGTAGCATCTATCCCAGACCGGCCTGAAAACATACGGCTGAGGATGACCTTGAACCCCAGTTCTCCTGCATTCACCCTTCCAGTGGTGGGGTGCAGCTGTGGGTCCCATGCTGGGGTTTGCAGTCCTGGAAACCGAAGCAGGGCGTTGTGCATGCTAGACACGCAGTCTACCAACTTCACTCCATCTCTCACCCTCGTAAGCTCTCTCTCTGAGAGCCCGCCCTCAGTCTTTAGCCCTATGCATGGTTTCCTTTAGCGTTGGAAACAATCTGTTAGCGGTTAGTTGGAGCCTTCGGACTCTTGGAGACCCCGTCCGTCACTTGCCCTGCTCTTCAGTGTGGAGCTCCACCTTCTTGTTTCTTCTTACTGCCTGTGATTTGTGGGATGGATAGACGCAGGACATTTAGCAGAGCATATTGCAGCAACTCTGGATGTTCATTTCAGGCTCTGGGTAGTTATTGTTTGTGTTTTTCTCTTGGACTAAATCTGCAAATCCCACTCCACTGCTGTCCTGCGGTTGCTCCACCCAGGGTCTCTGGAGCTTCCCTCAGGCCCATGTTCACCCTTGCCTACCCTGTTCCCATGTTCGCCTTACAGCCTACCGCCCTCACGTCCACTAACCGCTCTTGTCTCTGCAGTGACTGGACGGCAGCTGCAGAGCCAGGAGCCGGGGGTTGAGACTGAAGAGGACGACTCTGTGAGTGTCACCCCAAGGGGAACCCCTTCCTCTCCAGCCCCGCCCCGTCTCCCCCCAGGCTGGAGAGCTGGTAGCTGGAGGTAACTTTATTATCTTCTGCCAGGTGACCGAAGGGCCCGTGGGTGAGATCATTCGGCCAAGGCCGCAGGGGTCCTCCCCTGTCTATGAACACACAGCTGAAGGTGCTGGCTTTGGAGCCCAGGTAAGGCTGCAGGGCAGAACTGCTGGCCGAAGGAAGGCTCAGGAGTGGCCCACAGGCACGTTACCCCTGTTCACGAGTGTCTGTGCAGCCTGCTTGCCCTCCCTGCCGTGGGCATTTGGTCTTGCCCTCTTCTCCACTGCCCCGCCCTTGAACTGCCTGAGCCACGGTGGAGATGGGGACACTTGCAGCTCGTGTGTGTGTGTGTGTGTGTGTGTGTGTGTGTGTGTGTGTGTGTGACCAACTCTGAGAACCCACTGTGGGATGTGGCAGGGGCATGCTCCTTCATAGCGCACCCATACATACACACTCATACCATCTTGGAGAGGAGACTGCTGACTTCCTTGGGAGAGGAGCCATGGCAGGGATCAGAGGAGACCTGTCTGCGCTAAAGACTCATTTAAACTTTGAAAGTCTTCCCCCTTCTAAAGTACTTCCAGTTGCTACAGGGTGGGGGCATACCTGTTCCTCAGTGAGGAAACAGGAGGCTGAGAATTGCCTTTCCCAGTGAGGTCCTAGGTACTCAGCTCCCCGGTACACTCCGCACCCGGAGTTCCTGTATTCCTGCATCCTGGGTTCTCCTGCTCGGAGCCTTCCTGACACTCACGTCTCCTTAGCAGAGTAAGTGGTAACTCCCAACCCCTTGACTGCAGGAAAACAACCAGGGCAGGCACAGCTCCTCTGGCAGACGGAGATCCTGGTGGAAGAGGGATTCAGGAGAATCCACAGCCTTCTCCAGTATGAATCATCCAGAGGTAGGTGCCATACCATCGAGAGTCAGGGGATAACCCTTCCTCAAGGGCGTCAGCCCCAGGAGATGGAGGGAGGGGCATACGCTGTGCCCTGGGGATGGTACGCCTGTGCCTCAGGCCTGGGAGGGGCAGATGCAGAGGCTGGTGTCTACCCTCTAATGGGAAGAGTCTGACACCTGACGAGCATACGTGCAGCCATACTTCAGTGTGCAGTGGACAACCCTGTGGACAATGGCACCCAGGCTATGATGCGGAAGAGCCTTGGCCAAGGAAGACGGGAGGGGCTCAGCTGGGTGCCCATGAAGGGTCATTTCGCCTGTGCTTCCCTGGATAGCCTCAGTTGGATGGGCAAAGTGGGCGGGCATCATTTGCAGAATCAGGGGGACTACAGACATCCCCAGTGTTTGTGTCCCTCCTGGGATCCAGCCCTGGTGCTTTCCATGGGATGGATGCTTCACACATTTGTAACGAACCAGTGAAGGATCAGCAGAAGGAAGGCTGGCCAGAGCCTCTCCCCTGACTCAGTCCTAGACTCGGCCGCCTAGACAGGCTGTCCCCTGATTCCAGCTGAGGCTTCCTGCAGCTGGGCTTTCTCTAAACCCCAGACCCAGCAGCCTGGCCCACTTGGATGGTACCCCAGCTTCTACCCAGGCAGCACAGATCACCATCCTGGGGAGATACTGGCCACTACAGTGATGCCTATATGAGATAGGCAAACACCCACCATGCCCTCCTTCTGCCTCAGTCTACACAGGATGCAACAGAGGTGACACTGAAGACTGAGGTGGAGTCAGGAGCCAGTGGCTACACTGTCACAGGTGGAGAGGACCAGGGGATCTTTGTCAAGCAAGTCCTGAAGGATTCCTCCGCTGCCAAACTATTCAGCCTGAAAGAAGGTATCACAGCTGTCCCATCCCTGGGGGCTCCACCATCAACCCAGGATGAGGGGGAAATGGAGAAACCTGGAGGGGTGGGCCTCACCTAAGGCTCGGGATGCCCCGAGGGCTTTGCTCAGCCTCTCCAGGCTGGGACTGCCCACTGTGCCCTGATTTTCCGCATGTTGTTTGAGGTGCCACTGGGGAGCGGGACATAGGCTGAGGGGCTTCCCCTTACCAATGTGGCCCCCAGACCACTTCTATTCTGGTGGGGACAGGGGCACTGAACCTGGCTTCTTCTTCCTTTAGGGGATCAACTTCTCAGTGCAACCATATTCTTTGACCACATGAAATATGAAGATGCTCTTAAAATCCTTCAGTACTCAGAACCATACAAAGTTCAGTTCAGAATCAAACGGAAACTCTCTGCCAGCAAGGGAGAGGAGTCAGCCATTCAGCAATCTCAGCAAGGCTTGAAAGGCCAGGAAAAACAGGTAAGGTCCTGCCCAGTGAGATCTAAGGTAGCCTCAGCTGCACTAGAGACCCCCTTCCTGTGAGCACTGTCTATGGTACAGAATCTTGTACCCAAAACAAACAGCTTCTTCTCTGTTCCAGGACAAGGAGAGTGCGGAGGGATACATGGAGACGCCTACAAAGACGCTAGAGGCAGATGGAGACCGAGAAAGGCTTATTTCTAAGTCCAGGGATGGTCGCCAGAGGCGGCCCCAGGACAGACTCTCCTGGCCAAAATTTCAAGCCTTAAGGAGCAAGCGGGGGACAGGCCCCCGACGCTCACACAGTTCCTCAGAAGCCTCAGAGCACAGGGACACACGTGATGTGTCCCCCACAAGCACAGACACAGAGGCCCAGCTGACAGCTGAGAGCCGAGAGCAGAAGGCAGGGTCAGGAAGACGGAGGAGGAGGTTCCTGAACCTGAGATTTGGGATGAGCTCAGGGCAAGGCCCAGATACAAATGAGCAAGTGGGCAGAGACCTCCAGGACAGACAGGATCGGGCTGGAGTGCTGCAAGAGTCCCAGCCGCAGGAGGACGGGACACAGGCACCCGGGTTCAGGTCGGCGCTAACTATGCAGAAGCCTACGAAGAAGCCCAGTCATCCCAACTTGGACCAGGAAGGCCCTGGAGAAATGGTAGTGAAAACAGACAGACATCACAGAAAGAAGAAGCAGTTGGCAAAACAAGAAAGGGAGAAGACACTTGGCCAGCATAGAGCTGAGACAGCCCGAGCAAAGAGCTGGGATGACGAATGGGAAGAGGTAGAGAGCCTGGAAATAGGCATTGCAAGATTGTCTCTGCAAGACAAACCAGACCAAGGCGGCTCACAGGTATCACCATGCGACGGGAAAACCAGGGAAACTGGGTTTTCCCAAAATAAGATGAAAGAGACAAAAAGAGATGAGAAAGAAGTTGTCCTACCAGACAGAGGACAGCAAGAATCAGGGTACAGGGACGGAAAAAGGATGCAGGGACAAGGAGATTCACAGGAAGGAACAGGGCAAAGTGAAGAGAATGAGAGAGAAGATAAGGAACAGGTAACACAAACAGAACAAATAAAGCTGAAGATGCCCAAATTCAGAATACCATCTTTTGGATGGTCTCCAACAAAGGAAGGAAGACCAAGGAAAACCAGACAGGAATTAAAGACATCAGACTATGAAACACTGGGTGAGGAAACATTAAAGGAGGTTGTACAGAGAGAACAGAGAGACTATGTAAAGGACAGAGAAACAACTCAGGAGAAAGAAAAGAGACAGAGAACAGAGACCAGGGAAGAGGAACAAAAAACTACCAAAGAAGGAGAGTGCTCACAAAGAGAAATAAATTTCAAGATACCCAAGTTCAAGATGCCCTCCTTCGGCGTGTCCGCGCCTGGCAAGCCCTCCGTGGAGGCCTCGCTGGAGGTGGCGGCGCCCAAGGTGGAGGCGGA